TTTTATAAGCTATTTAAAAAGTTTTCTATAGGTTATTCTTTAGCTCGAATTTTGGTAAAAATGATCTACAGAGAGAGAATCGTATATTAAATAATTATATACTGTATTATAAATACTATATATTTAAATATACTGATACAACTATTTATATAATTTTATCGTAATAATATATCATTGTTATAGGCAAAAAGTGTCATTTCCATAAAACGTGATAAAGCTAATGAAACTACACCTCTAGAAATGGGATTAAATCATCATAGGCTTAGAAGGCTTAAGGGATCATTGTCGATAAATACTAATTCAAGAATTCTAAGAAATAATGATCAATTGTCTAAGCCTCTATGATAGCAAAGCCTTCTCTTTGTTACATATAAGAAATTAAAACTATTTAAAGGACGTTACAATACTAGAGGTTGATAACAACTCTTATATGCGAGGTAGAGGCATATAAAGTTGATCATAATTATTAAATTCTACTTCCCAAATCATTAACATCATGCCTCTAGTGAGAAGCTTAAAGAAACCATATGAATTACCTATAATAATTGGTAGTAACTTATCAAATTACTCACAATAGAAACTATACTATTTCTATTTGTCATATCGTTTATAAATTCTATTTATCGTTCATTTCAAATAATTAATTTACTAAATCTTCTGTATTATAATCCATACTTTCAAGGTCTTCTATAAGATTACTATTTGTTGCTGTATTAACTTGCAACTGACTAGAGTAAATTGAAATACTCCTAAATTTTTCTTTTGGTCGATCACAGTGCACAAAATTGTAATCTGCTTTTTTTTTCTATTAACATTATTTCAAGTTGAATTTAGAAATTCATAGCTAATAAAATTTGTAAAATGAATAGAAAATTTCTGATCGCTTAAAACTACACTAGAATTATATCTTAATTAACTGGAAATTCTAATAGATTTTGTGTACTGGTCGACTAGCATTTTACGATTACGATTAATATATTGATCTTGCTATTTTGTATCTATTGATATATTTTCTTCTGAATATGTATCAGCTTGTGATGATGCATTTAAATATAAATTCAATTCTTCAATCATATTAAAAAACAAGTTTAAAAATAATTTATTATATTCGAATTCAATGACTCTTTATATTCGAATTTAAATATTTACTCATTACAATAACAAAGTTAACCTTTTTTATTACATCAATTATAGCTTTAATCATAGCTTTAACTATATGTACATGTTTTAAAATTTATAATATATACAAAATTTAATTATCAATTATTGTATTATTTATTAATTATCATAATATTTTTATACTGAAAATATTTTGATTATTGAAATTAATTAAGTTGCAACACTATATATGTCAGATTTTGCAGCACTACCTTTCTAAATTGATTAGCTTTTACTATATTTAGTAAATTTATAACCTTTACCAGATATTATTTTTAAAAATTTTTGCTATGTATTCTGAATTGTATTAGTATAACTTTAGTAAATGTCACCAAATAATAGTAAAAATAAAATATTAAAAACTTGTTACTCTATAACAATAACAGAAATTAGATCATAAGTACATAATTTTTAACTATTTTTTTTTTTTTTATCTCTTGTTGCTTAAGCAACTAGAGGTGCAGGTGGCACTCTTTATTAAGGAACTATAAATAATCTATATACATTTTAAATATTTACAGAGTGATTTCATAGTTTTAGATTTGTTATAAGACAAATTAGACTTTAAAGATCGTATTTCTTTAGAAATACGATTTTTGATTAGGAGGCTAATAGAATTAAGTATTGTATCTGAGTCTCCTCATTTTAATAAGGTATAACAACACCAGATTTCATAAATTGTGTTGATATGTAGCCAGGATATAGCTATTAAAGTTTGAGGATAATTAGAGCTAGATAGCTCGAAGATTTCTTTTATTGTAGTAGGTAGGATTTTTCTCTCGTTAATATTCAGGAATTTATAAGCTTCTTCTCAAATAATTTTACTTCTAAGGCATTCAATAGCAAAATGTTCGATAGTCTGTAGTTCGTCGGAACACCAAAGACAATTTCCTGTCTCCGTTAGTCCTATATATTTGAGTCGATAGCCTAATAGAAGTGCTCTGTGAAAGAGACACCAGAAGATATCTTTTTTCTTATTGAATACTGATTTTAGAGTTAGCCAGGCAGCTTGCGTAGTTTGAGAAGAAGCTTGAGATGGGATAGATAAAGAAGTTGAATTTTTAAGGAGCTCTAATGATTTTTTAACAGAGAGTTCATCTCCTTTAAAATCTCTAGCAGAGATTTCTTCTTTATTCCAAGGCCAGTTAGAGGTACAAGAAATTCTTTCTTTTATTCTTGTCCAGGCAGTTAAATAGGATTTCCATTCTGTAGGCCAGGCTTTAGTATATATATTATTAGCACTTAGAGCTTATAGCAGGAAGATACTTCTTTTAGCTCTAAGAGTTGAGCTAATTTTGTTTCTTTCATAACTTGTCCATATAGAATCTGAAGTAAGGAGCTTGATCCAAACAGAGATTAGACAAGCGTCTAACATATCCTTGATAACTAGAGTTTGAAGTCCTGCAAGTTCTGTAGAATATTGAAAGGTAGAGTATCTAGGGAGCATACGTGAAGTACCTTTAACCCACAAAGAGATAATTCTGTTGATATCAGCAACCTGTTTTCTGTTAAGAGGTAGAAGATAAGCAGAGTACCAAATCTTAGATAGAATGAGTGATTTAGCTATTAGGATTTTTCCTTTAAAGAAGAGATTTCTGTTTGTCAGTTTGTCGAGAGAATCTTTTAGCTTATTAAGTGTTGTAGACCATAAGTCTTTTTTTGGCTAGCCATTAGTGAGAATATTGTATCCCAGAATTGTAACAGAATCTTGTTCTTCTACTTTAACAAATTGTTCTTCATTAGGAAGTTTTACTCATCGAGCCGTAGGAGTGAGAGGAACTAGCTTAGTTTTTGTCTTAGTGATTTTAGCATTAGAGGCTGCTTTATAAAGGTTTAGAGAGAATTGAACCTTATTCCAATCTGTTAAGGAACTAATTCCTATGGTTAAATCATCAGCATAAGCTGAAGATTTAAAAAGTTGGTTTCCTAATTCGATGCCATGTAGATGATTTTCTAAAGTTCTTATGAGAAGCTCAAAGGCTAATATATATAATAAAGGTGAAAGAGGATCTCCTTGTCTGACACCTCTCTCGACTCTAAAAGGTTTAGATATGTCATCTGCTTTGGTAATATGAGCTTCTTGATTAGAAAAGAGGTTTTGAACAAGATTGATAAACTTAATATTGAAATTCATGCTTTTTAAGGTAAGTTCTAGAAAGTTATGATTAACTCGATCAAAAGCTTTTTGTTGGTCAATAAAAAGCAACCAGTGTTGTTTAGAGGGATCTGCCTGATTTCTCATTGTTGTGATTATATCTAGAGCAGCATCTGTGATAGATCTATTCTTAATAAAACCTTGTTGGTAATGTGGTACAAGTACCTCACAGATAGAGTTGAGGCAGTGTTGGTCACTGGACTGGACTATTCCACTGGACCACTACTGGACTGGACCATCCAGTTCAGTGGAACTATAGTAATTGGAACTGGAACTAAATTTGCAAATCTCATGTGATTATTAACCAATCAAATTCTATAATTTATAATAATAAAAACTTTATTGCCACTACAGCCATGAAGCTTTAATCATTGCAATCAGCATTATATAGGTGCTGTCAAAAGAAAACCTGCTATCGGGCTTTCAAGTATATTTTGTGTACAGATCGTATCTTGTGTTCCATCTATAATAAATCTATCATTGGACATTTAATTATATCTTGTGCCGGACATACCCCCTGAAAAATCTTGCAGTAATTATTGTATTATTACAAACTGTGTCACGAAGATGCAATAATAATGATAAATTTATTTATCGTTATAAAGCATATTGATATCGATATTGTATTTAAATTTCTGATCAGAATTTTCAGGAGTATGTTCAGCACAAGATATAATTAAATATCTGATGATAGATTTATTATAGATAGAACACAGGATACAATCTGTACACAAAATATACTTGAAAGCCCGATAGCAGGTTTTCTTTTGATGGTACGTATATGGTTCATTCAGATAGTTGTTATACTCTTGTAGCTACTAAATCTCTAAAAGAGAGAGTGAGAAAGATAGAGCCAGCCTTTACTAAGGTGAGCGATAGTAAAACGAAAGATAATCTTTTTTCTTCTAAACAACTACCTTATCTCTTAATTTTCATATGCTTAATATTCTCTTCTAGCCTTATTAAAAACTTCCTATTTTTCAATATTCATATAATGCTAAATTTGCTAAATCATATGCATCACAACAATAATACCAAAAAACTCGCATTAAATAAGAAATCTTGATGAAAACACTAGACTAACTATAAAAAATATGTATATGAATACGATCTGCAATAAAGTCCTCTAATCTTACAATAATGACTACTCTCATTGACAAGCTTTTTATAAAATTCCTTTTAAATAATATTCATATAGCTTTATAATAATTATATATGTATACGCCAAATAAATTTCTTTATAGTTATATAAATTTTTTTTATCAATTATTTTTTATAACTTACGTATAAAAATATAATAAATTATTAATACGTATATATACTAATTTAAAAAATTAATTAATTATATAAATAAAAAAAATTTTATAATATAAAAATACGTAATATGAATAATTTAACAGTTTAATTTTTTCAAACTTTATCGATATCAATAATTACAAAAAATGATCAAACATCGTTTAACAACTTATATTATTGTTTTAAATGAAATGGCTAACAAATGTAATAAGTTTGCAATTTGTAAAGCTTGTAAAGAAGCTATTTCTCAAGAATATGCATATTCTAAAAAAATAGTTAATACAAAAAAATGTGTTAAAGCACATTTATCAAAATGTGAATATTTTTTTGCGAAGTATGGTAAAGAAGAAGGAGAAAATATTCTTAATAAATCAGATAATGAAACAGCTAAAAATAATAAAAATTTTAAAAAACGATCAAGTAAGTTAATAATATATATATTTATATTTATAACTATATATTTATTAATACAGTATATTTAGTTGAAACAGATGATTATCAAGAAAGTGAAACTGATTCAGATAGTAATTCAACTATATTTAATACTAAAACTAAACCACTTGATCAATATATAACACATCCTTTAAATTCTGCCCAACAAAAAAAATGGTGGTATCTTTTACTTAAAGCTACAATTTCTAATGGATGGAGTTTTCGCTGGGTTGAAAATAAAGATTCAAAAGAAATTTTTACTTTTTTAAATTCTACTTTAAAACTTCCAACTCGAAAATATTTAAGTAGAAAAATCTTAACTAATGCAAGTTTAGATATAATCTATTCAATTAAAAAAAAAGCAAAATCAGATAAAATAGGTATAACTTTAACTATGGATAGGTGGACAAACGTTATTAATCAAAATTTATTAGGTAGTGTATTAATAACATCTAAAGGTGATGTACTTGTATGGAAAGCACAAGATATAAGTACAGAAAGAAGTCGAACTGCAGATGTTGTAGAAAAAATTGAAAGCTTAACTAAAAGCGTTCAAGATGCTGGTATTAAAGTATCAGCGATAGTTACTGATAGTGCAACTCAGTATGCAAGTGCAAGGTAAATAATATTAATATTAATATTTAATATTTAAAAATTTTAAGATTAATTATTTTTTTATAAATAGACGTACACTTCAAATTATTCATCCTGAAATTGTATACTTACCCTGCTTTGCTCATCAAGTAAATCTTGTTGTTGGTGATATTTTTAAAAATAAAAATTTTAATCTAGTAGCAAAAAATGCAAATAAAATTGCTACATACTTTACTTCAAAAACACATACATACTTTATAGGAAAACTTCGTGATGAACAAAAAAATCAATATAATAAATATATTAATTTAATTCCTCCTAGTATTACTAGATGGAATAGTTACTATTATTGTTTTGGAAGTATTTTACGTAGTAAAGAAGCATTAAAAGTAATTATTTTTTTATTTAATAATGTATATATTTATTTAATATTAATTTATTATTGTTTTTTAGACATTAGTAGCCAAGTATGAACCATCAGATAATTCAAGTATATGAAGATCATCTGACAACCTTACACTTTCATATGAAATATGTCAACCAATTAATGATAATAATTTTTGGGTTTCAATTCGAAATCTTAAAGATTTACTTTTACCTTTATGTAGTTGTCTTAATATACTTTAACGTGACAAAGCATTTTTATTTGAAGTTCTTCATTCATTTGGATATTTTTATCAAATTTTTAAAAATTATAATGATTTAGACTTTTCTGTTCAAATATGTACTTATTTAGAAAAACGTTGGAATATGTGGGAACAGCCTTTACTAATTTTATCATTTATTCTTCATCCAAATTATCAGTTTGGCTATTTTAATACCACATTACCAAATATGAATTGGGTTGATATTAGTCAATGGATTACATATTATTATTGTGCATGGGCTCAAAAAGAACCAGAAAATATTTTACGTGAGCTTAATTGTTATCAAACTAAACAATATCCTTTTAATGAAGAAACTTGGCGGCAATGGAATGGAGATATTTTACAATATTGGAATTGGTGTTCACAAAAAGCTAAAGAACTTGGGTTTGTTGCTTTAAGAATATTTGGAATTGCAATTAATGCTGCGTCAGTTGAAAGATTATGGTCTGCAATGGGATTTTTACATTCTGCACGAAGAAATAGATTACATGTAATTAATATTAAAGATAATTAATTTATAGAAGTCGTATTGGTACTACTCAGGGTAGTAAATAATTTATGCCACTCCATCTAAATTAAATACTAAATTGACCGACTGACTCTAACCCAGTATTCGCTAACTCTAATGTGCATTATAAAGTTATTATTTAATTTAGACAAAGTGACAATAAATTATTCACCACCCCGAGTAGCACCAAGACTTTTCATAATTTATAATAGTTTTTTAATTAATTTTTATTTTAATTTTTTTTTTTAGTATAAAAAAGTTTTATCAATAGCACAAATTAAAGGTGTAATTAATCAAACACAGCGAAACCAAGAACTTGAAATGATAAAACAAATGTACTATTCAACTTCAGCCATAAATACTAGTGAACTAGAAGAATATAATGAATCTGACGAACAAAATGATAACTCCGATTCAGAAAGTTTGGAAAGTGAAGAAGACAGAGATACTAATAATTGGGATAACATTATGTTAATGCTAAATCAAATGTTAAATAATGAGGAGGCTAAT